TGATGCCTTGATGCTCTGAAATTCCATCAGGGTGTGTTCAAATGTGATATTTTTTGCTTATGCACCGAATAGGAGCTTTTAGCTTAAGGAAACTAGAACATGTTCTGTATTTCTTTGAGTATTTCCTTCCATTCATTCTCTAGATTTCCTATTAGATAAACATTAGAACTTATGGATTTATTCTCCATATCACTTACATGTTTTGCTCATTGCTTTCATTCTTTCTTCTGCAATCCAGGAGAAAACTGAGCCCAATATTCTAGCTTACTAATTCACCCTTCACTTCATCTTGAGTTCGAGTAGCATGTTGATTAAGAGCTTGAGTAAGTTAATGAGCCTTTGTATTCTTCAGTTTACTCATCTGTACAATGAATATACTAATAATATTGCCTATTCTGGTATAAAGGTTAAATATGTCAGTATATGGGTGCATAGGAGAGTGCAGCATAGTAATCTATTCATTAAAAAATGTAATAAACATATTCTTATATAATCCTCTTATGAATTTGTTGTCATATAAACTAATTGTTTTATGAATATAAGATCCCATATTATTCATCTGAGACATATATATATATATATATATATATATATATATATAGCTTAAAGCTCCTTCTTGCTCTGATAAAAATAAGTTATTTCTTGATTGAACTTAGTGCCTCTCTTTCATAGTAATAGATTCCCACAAATGACTGGTGATTCTTGGTTGTCTGCTCATTTAGTGTTTGCAAGTCTCATTTGCCTATCTGCTGTGCCGATTATTCTAATTCTGAGGCTTGTTTTGCTGATTGTGGTGGGAAGGGGAGAGACAGCACATGGTGCAGGGAATGGGATGCAAGTAGTGTATCTTCTGCAAGTTTGAGTTTCGCCCCATCTCCTGGCAATTGGTGAGCAGCTCCCTGGGGTTATACTGTCTCCTTGGACACCCATACTCACAGAGAGTTGGTATGACTGGAGGTGAGCCCATCCACCCGCTGATTCTCATTATCCTGCTTAATTTTCTGCGTATCACCAAGAACAAGCTCATTTATAGATTATTTACAAGGCTATTATTTGCCTTGGTGAAGGCAAACCTTCAGGGCCTTGAATTGTGTCTTGCACAGAGTAAATGTGAATATTTGTTGAATGAGTGAATGCATGAATGAGTGCCATTCTTTAGTTACTCACCATGTGTTATAGTAATACATCCCTTATGTAATTATTGGGACACCATGTTAAAAGTGCTTCCTCCTTTTAGCCATTGCTTTTAAAAAAATATATATATTTTATTGATTTTTTACAGAGAGAAAGGAGAGGGATAGAGAGCTAGAAACATTGATGAGAGAGAAACATAGATCAGCTGCCTCCTGCACACCCCCTACTGGGGATGTTCCCGCAACCAAGGTACATGCCCTTGACCAGAATTGAACCTGGGACCTTTCAGTCCGCAGGCTGACACTCTATCCACTGAGCCAAACCGGTTTTGGCTAGCCATTGCTTTTGAACTTGAATTTGCCCTGTCACTCTGGTCCCACCTTTCATAGTGTTGTGGTTCTATTGGTGATCCAATCCTGCCTGCTTTATATAATCTAGGAAGTCTTTGAATTGATGGACACTGATGCTTTCTTTTTGTTTTCTGGAATGCTAATGAATTTTTAAAAATACATTTTGTGTTATATGTAGGGTTTTGTGGTAACAGAAGATATACAGAAAGTGCTTTTAGAAGCTCCATGAGCAGTGTTACTAATTTCCACAGAGTTTATTTTAGTTGGAGCATGGATTTGACATTAAATAACATTGAACTTAACACAGAGAACATAACCTATTTGGAATTCTCTTTCTTTTCTTTTCTTTCCTTTTTTTCTTTCTTTCTTTTCTTTTTTTTTTTAAACATACTTTTATTGATTTCAGAGAGGAAAAAAGAGGGAGAGATAGAAACATCAATAATGAGAGAGAATCATTGATTGACTGCCTCCTGCATGTCCCCTGCTGGGGATTGAGCCTGTCACTGGGGCATGTGCCCTGACTGGGAATCCAACAGAGACCTCCTGGTTCATAGGTCAACTCTCACCGACTGAGCCACACTGGCCAGGCTTTTTTTCTTTTAAGTATTTGTAAAATATTTAAAAACTTTTAAATATACAAAGATATACAGAAAACAATGTAATGCAGATTACAGATGCAGGGTAAAGATTTAGCAATTCCAAATATTTAGTAATATTTATCTGAGGTCTTTAAAAAAAAAATAAATCATACATCTTTGTTGGAGCCTCCTTTGTGCCTTCCCATTCAATTTTTCTTCTTCCTTTCTCAGTATCCTGAAGTTGATCTGTATCCTTCCTGCCTGAGTCTATGCTTTTTATAGTTAACTACATATTTAGACAGATATAAACAGAGTATAGTATTGTTCTGTAGGCCTTCAAACTGCACATAAATGATATCAATTGTTTCAGTCCTTCAGAATACATCAAGAAGAAAAATCTCACTTTGGTCAAGTTCTGATACTAAGAGCAGGCCTCAGGATAGAAGCCTGAGGCAGGCAGTGATAGCTGGCTAGAATTTAATGATGTTGCTTTATTTTCTCATTATATTTATTTTAATGGCTTCCTTCTATTTTTAGCTTTCCATATTCAGTAGTCCTTTATGTTCCCTTTTAAATTAAATGTAAAAAAAAAAAAAAAAAGAAGTGTTGATTTAAGGGAAACATTAAGTAAATGTTAACAGTACAGGAGGTATAAAGACATGGCCAAAAAAACCCCCATAAAACTTAGAGGAGTTTTTACTGAAATAGCTGAAATTTGATACACACTTGACCTAAAGAATAAAGTTCAAGTGCCTTAAGGGGGCATTTGAAGCTCTACCTGATGTGAACTCTGCTTTCTCCCCCAATCCAGTCACCACTTCACCTCCGCACAAACTGCTTAGCATTTCTTCCTTCCCTTATCAATGGGAGGTGCACTGGCGATTGTAACCTCTCCTTTTATGGTATTTCCTGCAGAAAGCACCCCTGCCTTCCACAGACTCTCTCACCCTCTTACCAGGAAGCCCTCCCCTCTGTAGGACCCTTCACGTACTGGGCATAGAGTTTCTAAGGTAATTCTAAATCCAAGGGGAGCATTTAGTGCCAGTATCACGGCATCCTCCTGGCCTGAAACAGCTCACTGTTTATATAACACCTGAAGGAAAGATCCATTTGTGATGCTTCAAATAGAGCCTGAGGTCTAAAATGCAGGTTCTCCAGGAGGGGAAAAATATTTATCTAGTTTTAAATATTTGGAGTTTTAGAAATAATTCTGTTCATAATTCTCAACGCTGGACCTTAAATCACCAATTTTCTTTCAGCACGGAGCCAAAACATTAAAACTTGTCATCTAGGTTAAAGGTAAAAAAAGGAACAAAAAGAGGAGGAAAAAATAAGAACATTGACAGGAAACGATAGGTTTTTACGCCATTTCTACATTACTTGGTGGCTTGCTGCACATCACTGATTACCTCGAGCTAGGTGATTTTATTAAAAAGTGAGACCTCAAATGGAGCGTTCTGCATATAACAAAACGTTTGATGTTTGAATGGCAAAAGCTCCTCAACTCTTGCGGCCATTGAGATGTTGGAAAACAATTTTCAAGGTTCAATCTCCACAGTGCATATAAATAAACAATGCTATTAACAAAAACAACACGGAGCAATCGGAACGCTGTTGAAAAAGTCTTCTAGTGTCTGCAGGCGTGATGAACTAACTGCATTGGCATTCATTCATTCATTCATTCACTCAGTCATTCATTCATAAGCCTTATTCTGAAGCTAATCGTCACGCTGCACTATTGAAAAGCCCTCAGTGCTTTTGGCCAGGGGTGAATTCTCCCCACAGAGGTGCAGCCAATGCTCCCATAGCCGCTGCTGTATTTGGGGTAAAGTTCAATCACACCTTTGCACCGTTTCTTCCTTTGTATTTCCAGCAGCCGTGGCTGGAGAGGAAGAGCGGTGCGGGGCGACCGGGGGTAAGTGATTTCACCCCCGTGATCACAGAATGTCATCTTCGCCGCTGTAAACATCCAGCCTTTACATGGGAGGGGGAAAAAAAAAATGGGCGGTACATCTCGCCGGTCACATCTTCCCCGCCAGCCAAACTTTCTCCATCCATCAGGGCAGGCGGGCCGCGGGAACCCTGCCTGCAGGGGACATGCGGGGTCCGGAGGCGGCGTGTCCTGTCTTTGGAGTTGCCAGAAAGCACTCACGCTGCTATGGCAATCAGAGAACGAGCTTCTCGTCTCCATTCGGTCGTTTCCGTAGGGAATTGCGGCACCACCCGCAGGTCCTGGGTGTGGCGGTGCCAAGAGGAAGCTCCGATCCCTAGCTTTCCTGCTTCTGGCAAACCTTCCCAGCCACCCGGGATCCCGGGGACCGCGGGCGGGCCGGACCCGGCGGCCGGGGCACATCGCCCAGACGCGAGGCCGGGCGAACCGTGCGAGCGCGCCCCCCGCCCCCCCACCTCCGTGCGCGGTGGAGGCGGATCCCGGTCCCCGCACACAAGTCCTTATATGCACCGGCGGCAGCAGCCTGCGTGACTCTGGCCCCACCAACAATGAATGGGGGAGGGAAGGGCGTCGCTTTGTGCACCCCCCCCCCCCCGCATTTAAAAAAAAATTTTTTTTTTTTTGAGTGCTGGAGCATTGGAACCCTTCCGAGAAACCACCCCGATGCGATCGAATGGCCCTATGTCTGCAGCGTGCGACTTGAACACACAAAAATTAATGTGTATCCAAATAGCCCTGCTTCCCCCGCGATCATAAGCACGGCGGGGCTCAGAAGCAGCTCCCCAGATGCAGCGGGATTAGCCCGCAAGCAAACGCCGGCGGAAGGGTGCCTGCCCTCCCCTCCCCCAGCCGCGCCGGTGCGGAGGGACCGGGTCAGGAAGCGTGGCCTCTCCCTCCGGAGTCGGAGACCACGCCTTCCCCCCCCCCCCTCCCCGCGCCCTTACTCCGCCCAGGAAGCGGTGATCGACAGCTCGGTGTGGCTCTCCACCCCCACCCCCAGCTGAGTGGAGGAGTTGATGTGTCTCATTATAACAGCCAATGCAGCCGCCATCCACGCACAGGCGAAGCAGCATGGCCCATTTAAATACACCCACGCAGCCCCGGCGCCCTTAGCCGATCGGGGCGCGCAGCCCACACGCATCGCGGCTCCCGGCTTCGGAGACCCACGCGCGGCCGGGCTCCCCGGACCCGGCGGCCAGGCGCGCGGAGGAGGATCGGGATCCGGAGGATCGGGGTCCGGCGCTGTGGATCGATCCCGTGGGGGCGGCGGGGGGACTGGGCCCGGGGGCCTTGGGCGCGACACCCGCATGAAGAAGAAGACGCGAGTGAAATAGACCCCAAGGTGGCCTTTCCAAGGGAGGACGAACAGCCTTCGGGGTGGTGGTTTTGGTCCATTTCTCCGGCGAAGAAGTCGACATGGCGAGCGACTCCCCGGCTCGCAGCCTGGATGAGATCGATCTCTCGGCTCTGAGGGTGAGCAAGAACAGTTTTTTTTTAATTTTTATTTTTTTTCCCTCCCATGATTTGGGTCAGGGTGCAGGGGCTCGGGGCGCGAATTGGGGCTGGGGTTTGGTGGGCTCGAGGCGGGCAAGGACGAGACGGAGGGAACCTGGAGTCTGGGTTGGGAGCCGCTGGGGTGGCTCACTCCGGTGGTTGTGGTCGAGACCCCCCTGGGAGCGCGCGGAGCTGATGCCAGTTCCGTCCGGAGCGGTGTGAGCGCGTTAAAATAAAAGGCTGGCGTGTGTGTGTGTGTGTGTGTGTGTGTGTGTGTGTGTGTGTACACAAACCCCGGGAAGCCGTCTCGTGCCGAGGCGCGGAAACCTGCCTGTCTCTTTCTGCAAAAAAAAAGAATAACAACGGAGCGAATAAAGGCGCTGGCCCCCACGCTTTCCAGCTCCCTGCAAGATGACATTGGGAGCCTGGCGGTCCCCACGGGGCGCGAACCTGCCTCTCCAAGGGCGGGGGGAGCTATTGCTCTGCGGGTCTTGTGGGTGGCAGCTGCCTCCCCTTCCCCCTTTCTGCCTCCCGAGCCCGGACTGGCTCTCAGCGCTGTCTTAGGGACCAGCCTGCGCTCACCTTTATGTGTGTTTCTCGCTCAGCCCTGCCTGTGCTTGCTGACTGAGTGGCTGTGACATTTCAGTTTTTATGGCTGAACTTAAGCAGGTGAAAAGGGATGGGTTCTCTGCTTTCCCCCCCAATCAGACCGGAACTCCCGGGAGTGTGTGTGTGTGTGGTTTCCCTGTGTCTGCAGCCAGCCCTTTGTGGAGCCCTTCCCAGCCCCCAGCCCCACGGAAGCTCTGCGTTTACCTTCTTCTCGCGAACAGCCTCAGACACCGTTTCATTGTATCGACTAAGACATCACCCCTATAGGATCCATTTTGCTGTTTTGTTGAGGCCAGGATACTACCGGGAATCTGAGGGCAGCAGCCTCGACGCCTCCCCATCCCCCTTCCACCCCCTTCCATCCCCCAATCCCAATCCACCCCTTCTGGGAAAGGGGGGCAGAGCTTTCTTGCCATTTTAATTAGATGTTGCCTCCTGGGAAGGGGGTGAGGGGTGGGGGGTGGCGACAGCAGCGGGGGGTCTGAGGAGGATGGGATGCCAGTTTAAAGGCGGCTTCTTCCTCTCCTGAATCAAAAATAAAAAAAATTAACACACACACACACACACACACACACACACACACCTGCATTGTCCATGACGCACAGAGGGGTCGGTGAGACCACACTGATGGTGGCTGTCAACACAGCAACATGCAGGAGGGTGGGTGAAGCTTGCAAGTTCACAGGCCCTCCGGAGGGAATACATTGTTAGACTGATGCTACATCCTGAATGCTCAGTACTTCTTCTCCCCACATCGCCTCACCTACTCCTCAACTGTTAAAGAGCGGCCTTTATGGTCGAAGTGTCACTTTTTCTGTAGTCTCATTAATCCTCTCTCCCTACCTACCCCACCCCCCCTTTTTAACTCCTCCTCCCCCTCTCCTTAATCCTGGTATCCAAGAGGTGAGGTTTCTGCAAGGCAGTTAAGGGGTCGGGAAGGAACAGAGATGCCATTTGTAACGGGCTTTTTTTTTTTTTTTTTTGATAGTTGGGTAGCAAAAGCTCATTCATGCGTTATTACAGTAAGCTGTCTATTTCCCTAGCGCCGAAATGCCACATGCAGCGCGGGGTGGGGGGTTGGTAACAGGGTGGGTGCTTTTGGCTGAATCTGTGGCTTCCTGCTTTGCAGATTGTGCATTTGCCCTACTTTCGGCGCTGGGAGTTGCTGCCAGCTGGTTAATCAGGTGAATGGATGGTCCAGACTTCAGGGAGGGGAAGGTGGCAAAGGCCAGGGAAGGCGCCTGAACAATGGGCCAGGCTTGTGATTCCCCTGAGCCGGAATCTCGGCCGTAGCTCCGGTAATGGAAAGCGCCCCGATGTGATTTTTTAGGTCCTGCTTGGCGGGAGGTGTCTCTCCTGGTTTTTCCTGGGGAAGATTTTCCTGAGATACTCAGCACAGAGCCTGCAAGACTTAGGAGCAACCGTGAGGGCTCCCCGGCTGGCCTGGAGTGCGATTCACACATGGGAAGCCTGCACTCCAGAGAGCTGTATTTTGAAAATATATCTTTGCAGGATGCACTGAAAATTGCTCTTTGTAGCTTGGGCTGAGTGCTCTGGCCCTGTGTTTCTGCTTTGCAGGAGGTGTGAAAAGAGGGAGGGCCCTGGTTAGCCCAGGAGATTGGAGGATTTAAATGCAGATGTGGAGACGGTTTTGGGGCTGGGGTCTGCAGACCAGTTTCATTGTGAGTGAGGTGTGCGGGCCAGGAATGGGTCCACATAGGAAATCTCTACAAATCAGAGGGCAGATCATCTGTCTCTGTCTCCCCCAATTAGGAGAAGTGGGCTCACCTAGATGAGAGGTCTGATTTGTTCCCAAACTCTCAGTAAAGCCTGCCTGCTGAGAACCTCCTGGGAATGCCTGACCCCTGAAATGCAGCCAAGGTCAGTGGCTTCTAAGAGAATTCGCTGCAGCCTTACCAGTCCCTTGCTGTTTCGGTGGCTCTTTAATGTACACAATCAATGCTCTTTTTGTAAACCCCTTGCTCAGTGTATTAAAAGCGGATCCTGTCTGAAGAGGCCTTTTTTCCTTCTCATTTTGGGGGCTCATTGTTCTCAGTCAGTGATCCCAGACTGGATCCCATCTAAATTTTCCCCAAATAGCAACAATGCATAACTTAAACCAGAGCAACCAGTGACAGCACCGATGATTTAAATTATGCAAGGTGTGGATGGTTTTTAAAAGTCCCATCAAACAGGGTCTTTGGTTAGGACAGAGGTGATTTTAATACAGTATTATCAATCCTGATTTTTTAGAGCTCTGGAGATGAACTAAGTTTTGGGGGGAGGATGATGGATTAAAAGATTTAGAGCTGGAAGAAAACTGTAGAACAATTAGCCACTCCTGTCATCTAATACGTGGTATGCTAAAGCCCAGGGACACGAAGTCTATCGCCCAAGGTCACACAGCCCACACCCTCTTCCCTCTGAGGTGGCTTGGGGGAGAGTATCTAGGTTTCCTGACTCCTCACTCAATGCTCTTTTCTCTAAGTCGCATTGTCTGTGGTTGAATCAGAAATCAATAATACATTTTCTGTCTGGTCACACAAAAAAAATGGCAGAGGAGTAATTTCACCATGGGTCATGGAATTTTATATCCAAGAATAAAGTGCTTTGTGCAGGTAACCTCATTAATACGTAAGCTTTGGAGCTTTAAGGTACCTTTGGAATTCATCGTGTCCAACCCTCCCTCAATTCCTCCTCTGCAGAGAAATGACTGTCTAAATTGTCTAGGACAGATGGTTGTCCTGTGTGGTACCCTCTCTCCGTAACCCATCTCCATCTGAACATGTCCCAGGGGTCATCTAGACATACACATTATTCATATGTCTCTGCATGTGACATTTACAGCTTCTAGATATGTTTTGTGTAATCTTTGTGGATACTTATATAAAATATTATGGATATAAACTATCCAGTGGGTATGTGAAATGTGTGTATACAGAAAACATTCTACTCACTCTAACCCAGGGCTTGAGTCACTCTTCCTTCAAGACATCGCTGTATTAAAACAAATGAAATTTCCCTCCAATATGCTTTATTTCATATGTGGTGAGATCAGCCCAGAAAGCTTTTTGGAGGTTAGCATATATCTGAATCTGAGCACTTTGGCTGTCCTTAGTTTGGCCCATAGAGCAAGGCATTCAGGGCCAAGCTTGGTCATTGCTGACTTCATACTCTTAAGTTTCTGCCAGGACTCCCACTCACTTTTCTACTTGAATAGAATTAAATGACCTCTGCTTGTCTTTTCCCCAACCCCTCACTCCCTCTGGGCCTTGCTATTTCCTTCTCCATCAAAACCTAGAATTTAAGGGGTAGGAGGAGGTTGAAGAGGGTAAAGGAGGAGGGGAATAAATGGCAATGGTAAGAGACTTGACTTGGGTTGGTGAACACAATACAATATATTAATGATGTATTGTAGAATTGTATACCTGAAACCTTTATAATTTTATTAACCAATATCACCCTAATAAGTTCAATAAAAATCAAAATCCCTAGATTTAAGAATTGACTTCTGGGAGACCTGCATACATCTTTTCCACTATACTTTTCATTGCTTGTGTTATAAATGATGTGCAATATTTTTTTTTTTTTTTTTTTTTTTTTTGCCTGATTACTACCCTGGTTCCTCGAAAATAAGACCGTGTCTTATATTAGTTTTTTCCCCCAAAGTTGTGCTAGGTTTTATTTTCAGGGGATGTCTTATCTTTCCACACGCTAGGTCTTATTTTCGGAGGATGTCTTATTTTCGGGGAAACACGGTAGGCCAGAAGTTTGGTCTTGCTCATCTTTGAGTCCATAGTCCTAGTTAGTTGAATAAATGAATAAATGCATGAATGAGTGAGTGACTGAATGGAGTGAACTGAGTGCTGAGTTCTATGTTCGTGTCTTATTATAATAGCTGTGAAATGATCACAATTGCTGGTCTTCCTCATACACTGGTTTCAGAAATCAAATTATTCACAGCAATGCTTTGAAAGCTATAAAGCACTATACCAGTATGCTAGTCCATGATTAAATAGAATTTTATGAGAAAGTTGATTCTATCAACATTTGATCCCAATGATTACACCTAATTGAAAGTGATCCAGAGGAAAAGATTCTACAGCTTTTTAATAGTATCTCTACCTTTTTGTTTCAATATGACCTTGTATGTTTCTCTGATGGGCTGGGTTAACCTTTGACCTAGTATCAGCATTTATTACATATGAGGTGAGCTCAGGCCAGAAGCTTTTGGGAGATTAGCACGTTTCTAAGCCAGTATCAATATCAGCATTATTCATTAAATAAAACATTCTAATTTTTCTTTTTTTCCCCCCTCTTAAACTTTTTATCCTCTTAATGGATTAATTATTATTTAACTAGAAACGGCT